GCATGGATGTAGGGGGTGCTGGGTCTGGCCGGGACGTGAGGGGCACAGATTCAGGGGACGCAAGACATGGCCGTGAGGGCCATGGAGCTCTGGGCGGGGAAATGGACATGGGGGTTAGGGTGTGGAAGTAGGGGTGCTCTGAGAGGATATGGGAGATGAAGGCTTGTACAGGGTCTCGAGTGGGGGTGTGGAACGAGGAAGGCTGCTGTCAGGAGCGGATGGCCCGGGCGGTGCAGGTGTGGAGTCCCGGGGACTTAGGGTTTCCCACTGTAGTGTGGCCCCCACTGAGGAAGCAGAAAGAGAAGTCGGGGTCCCCATTCTCCAGACCCTTAGGGGCACACTGCTTTTATAAAGTTGTGCATCTGTTGCCTCTATTTTCCCATCCACTGGGAGCAAATTACACAGAATGTCTCCTGGACAGCCAAAGTATGGAACTCAGCAGCAGGAGGATTTTTTTCTTTTCACTTCTTGTGTCTGGCAGGACAGGCCTAGGTGTGTCTGTGGGAGGTGGGGATGGGAGGTGGTTAAGAGCATGGGCACTGGAGTCAGACCGGTTGGGTTTGAAGCCTATCTTCACCATTTACTAGCTGTGCAACCTTAGACAAGTCGTTTTAACCCCTCTGCACCTCAATTTCTTCATCTGTGAAGTAGAGGTAATAATCATCACCTACCTCAGAGCGTTGTTGTGAGAATTAAATAAATTAATGCAATGTAAGGAACTTGGCACATAGTGAGTGTTCTACAAGGACCATTATCATTATCATTAGTATAGTCTTCTGTGTCCACAAATTCTTTGATACTCTTCCCTTTAAGAGGTAGAGGGTATAGAGCTTAATTCTCCTCCCCGAGCATGGGCTGGACTTGGCAACTTGATTCTAATGAAAAGAATAGAATATAGCAGAAGCAATAGTGTGTGACTTCCTAGACTAGATCATACAAAGCTTCCTCCTTATTCCCCTCATGGATCACATGCTCTGCGGGAAGTCAGCTGCCAGGTCCTAGGGAAACTCAAGTTGCCCTATGGAGAGACTCACATATGAAGGAACTGAGGCCTCCTGCCAACAGCTATGTGAGCGAGCCACCTTAGAAATAGATCCTGCAGTCCCAGGAACACCTTCAGATGACTGTAGCCTTCATTGACATCTTCACTACAGTCTGATGAGAGACTTCCAGCCAGTAGCCACAACTACCCACAACCACCCAGCTAAGCTGTTCTTGAATTAATGACCCACAGAAACTGAGATAATACATGTTTGTTGTTTTAAGTCACTAGGTTTTAGGGTAATTTGTAATACAGCAGTAGATGACGAAATACTTCTTCCTTCAAAATTCAGCTCAGGCTCACCTCCCTAAGGAAGCCTTCTCTGCTTTGTGCTGGGTTTGGTGTCTTCTTGACACTCCCCGACTCCAGTTTTTCCCATATAGTAGTTTCCATCCTTTAGAGTTTGTATAGCATGGCTCTCCTTAATCTTATGCTGTGAACTACCAAGGGCAAGGACCCTTTCTAATTTGCTGCTGGATCTCCTGCACCTTGCATGTGGGATTAGGTGAGGAGGCAGAAAGAAGGAAGATCAGTCAAGTCTGATGACTTGAACCGAATAAGGGGTGGGACTGGGAGAAGTGGGGTGGGCTGATCCCCTTGTGGTACATTGTATTTTCCAAAGATGGTTGTAACTGTATCTCCCATCCCACATACCCTTCTACAATATGACCTTGCCATTCCTCCCATCAAAAGGGAGATGTATGGTCTCTCCCCTTGAATTCTGGGTGGGCTATTACTGCCTTGAACAGTAGAGTACAGTGGAATGACATTAGGTGACTTTGAGGCTAGGTTATAAAAGGTGATCCAGCTTCCATCTCGTTGGCTGGAATATTTGTTCTTAGAGCCCAAAGCTGCCATGTAAGAAGTCCAAACACCCTGAGGCGGCCAAGCTATGAGGAAGCCCAGGCCACATGGGGAAGCCACATGTAGGTGCTTTGGTTTCAGCTCCAGCTGAGGTCTCAGCTGACACAGCGTCAATCACCATGTGAGTAAAGGATCCTTCAGATGATCCCAACTCCCAACCACTGAATCTTCTCAGGTGAGGCCCAGACATCCTGGAGCAGACACAAGCCATCCTTTCTGTGCCCTATCTCAATTCCTGACCCCACAGATTCCATGAGCATAGTGAAATGGTTGCTTTAAACTGCTAAGATTTTAGGTAATTTGTCATCTCCTCTGCTCCTTTCAATAACCTGGCTTCTCCAGCATAGACAAGGGAGGAAGTCTGGGGGTGAGTTGTGGTGAGACAGTGGGGAACACACCTGAGCACATTCTCAAGATTTCCCCCTTTCAAACATGGAGAGTCTTAGAGAAGGTAGTGCTCACTCCCCTGGATGGTAGGACCAGGTTGTCCTTCTGAAGGGGCTGCCAGTCCTAGGACCTGCTTCTTTTCTCCTGCTCGGAGGCTCAATATGGTGGTGCTGGGCTGTGATGATGGCTTGTCCCCTGTTAAGCTCCTCTTATGCTCTTTTGAGGCTGGGGCCTGAGGAGTCACTCTCCTCCCACCTCCAAAAATAGAGCAAGAAGAGAAAGGCAGCACCGTTCAGTGGAAGGATCTGAGGATTGAGAGTGGGGAATGGCAGCAGGGTCTCATCTTCTCCCTAGAGGCAGGAGTGTGACTCCGGTGGCTACTTGTGGAACCTGATGACCAGAACTCTGAGTGGACTCCTCCAGCAGGCAGGCTCCCCAGCAGGTGGCTTACCTTGAGGGCAGTTGGGCCAGCTGTTCCAATTCCTGCTCCATGTGCTCCTGCAACTCACTGGGCCTCAGCAAGACCTGGCAGATGGGGCAGATTGGGGCCTGGCTGTCAAACAACGCTGCTGCTTTCTTCTTACCTGGTGATGGAAGAACAGATAGATACATAAGCTGGGCTAGACTGTAGAGGAATACCCAGTGTCCCAGGCCTCCAACCCAAGTCTGCTGCTGCCCCCCTGGGCTCTTGGCCTAGAAGAGGGAAACTGCAGGTCTCGGAGCCCATGAACATCAAGCCTCTTTGGCAGCTCCAAAGCCTGTGGCCACCAGTGGTGCCTGATCAGCCAGCTGCCCCTCTCAGAGATCTCCTGGGGCACAGTCAATGCTCTGTACAATTAAATCTTGATTCCTCCATTTCACAGGTGTTTCGTCATGCCACCACCCAGAATATTCAGTGTCCCCCCCCCTTCTTTCCTCACTGCTTTCACATTCCCCAGATCTAGAAAAGAAAGAAAAGAGAGAGGGAAAGGGGATTCATTTCTGCAGTAATTCAACAGGCATTCTCTGATGTATACTCTGAACAAGGCCCTCACAGTCAGGTCGGACAGACTGAAAAGGACCAGGTGACTTCCAGGGTAGCATTCTCTCCCAGTTCTTCACTTTCCCCAAGGTTCTATCCTTAGTTTCTGCTCTTCTCATTTGCTTGCCAGATGATCATTCATTATTTTTTTGTTTTTTGTTTTGAGTTGGAGTCTCACTCTGTCGCCCAGAGCCCAGACTGGAGTGCAGTGGCCGCTCCCGGCCACCGAAGCCTCGACCTGCTGGGCTCCGGCGATCCTTCCGCCTCAGCCTTCCAAGTAGCTGGAATTACAGTCATGCGCTACCACGCCCGGCTGATTTGGATGATCATTCTTACAGTCACAATTCCTACCTGTGTTCTGTTGACTGCAGAATATGCATCTCTATCCCAGATCCCTCCTGTATTCTCCAGACCCCTGTGTCTAACAATAACGGACTTCAATGTCTGCATGTTCTATAAGAAACTGAAACTCAACAAACCTTCATTCACCTGGTCACCCAAGCCAGTGACCTCAGCCTCACCTAGGTTGCTTCCCTTGCCACACCACCCCTTCCACATTCACTTAACCACCAAGTCCCATCTATTCTGCTTCTTCAATATTCTTAGAATCTATATTCTCCCTGATCAGGACTCAAGACCTCTCACTTAGATAGCCTCATTGACCTCTTATGAGTCCCATTGGTCTCTCTTCCTCCAAAATAACGTTCAAATTGTGCACCCCCAATATATGAGTACATTGGGGGCTGACTGGGAGCCTGAGCTCTATTCCCACCTCTGTTCCTGATGGTAAACAGAGCATTTTATTCCCCTTAAACCCCTTCCCTTTTCACTCTCCCCACCCAGAGCTCTCATGCTGCTGCTTACAGGTGTGGGGCTGAGGAGTTCTTTTAATCTAGAATCATCCCTGCCTATCCATGGATACTCTAATTGTAAAAAGGACTTTGGCTTGAGCCAGATCTCCTCCCTTCTTCTTCTTCCTACTGGTGTCTGGAGAAGTTAACAAATCAGATTTCAGAGAGATAAAGGCCATGCCAGTGATGAGCAAGATGTTCATCTGGGCAGGGTTGCCAGTTCAATATAGGATGTCCAGTTCAATTTGAGTTTCAGATAAACAATGAATAGTTTTTTTGTATAAGAATGTCCTAAATATTACATGGGCTATATACATAACCTAAAATTTATTTGTTGTTTTTCTAAAGTTTAAATTTACCTGGCTGTCCTGTATTTTTATATGCTTAATCTAGACCCCTATACCCGAGGGAGTTTTCAGTTCAGGCTAAACACAAAACTCACCTCCGTTTAACACAAGACTAAGGATGATTACAACTCCCCTGGAAACCCAGATGGAGTCATCTGAGGGCTCAAAGGAAGGAGCAATTCATTTTGGGTATGTGTTTTATGAAGTGGAAAAAGAGAAGGCTTACTCAAAGAAGTGAAATGTAAGTTTCACCTTAGAACTATACCAGAAAGAGTACGGGGGCCAATGAGTAAGTTAATGAATACGTTGTGAGTTCCTTGTGGGCAGGAGTCATTTCTTATAGATCTTTATATTCACAGACACTTTATAGCAGGCCTGGCATAGACTAGATGCTCAATGATGAAGCAAGAAAGAGGAAAAGAGGAAGGAGAAGACGAAAGGTGGGAACGAAAAGCCGATTATCCTAAAAGCCAGACAACCTTTACAGAGCAGGCTGGGACAGCAGCTGGGAGGCTTTGTGTGTGCCAGGGTGGGTAGGAATGGCTCCAAGCTGTGTGACTAGGTCTTTGAGAAAGGGAAAAAGTCCTACTCATCATGTGTCTTGGTGGCTGTGCCTCAGATACTCAGGGGACAGCTGAGTAAAAGAGGCAGATGTGGTCCTGGTCTGGGAGGCAGGAGATAGAGTCCAGTCTCGTTCTGCCCTTAACTTCATTAAGCCAGAGCATCTCAGAGGTGAATAAGATCCTAGAAATTTTCTGGGCCATTTTTTTTTCTATTTTTTTCTTTATTTTCCAGATTGGGAAACTGAGGCTCAGAACTGGACATGGACCCTAGTGTTTGAATTTTGGCCTCATTGCTCCATTTATTTATTTATTCAGCAATAATTATTTAACAATTATTTGATGTCAGGTATTAAACTGGAACTCAAAGATAAACAAAACACATTCTTGGCCTCAAGGAAACCTCAGATTAGTGGGAAAGTCAAAAAAGAAAGTCAGTGACTCCAGACAGTGCAGGTAAAAACTATGAGGGAGGTATGACCAGGTACTGTGTGTGTGAGGGAGGGAGGTGGGAAGGCTCCAGGAGGGTTGGTAGGATCTGTGGGGGAGGTAACACTCAACAGGAGGCATGGAGGATGAAGAGGGGGAAGTTGACAAGATTGTTGGAACAGATTGTTGAGGCAGGATGTCGGGTATAAAGGAGGAAATGGTAAAGAGAGGAGAGTGAAGAAAAGAAAGAGGCAGACCCAGGACATGGAGTCTGAACTGAGGTAGAAATATCAGGGGTTCAGCCCCCTTTATCCTGGGACACCAAGTCTGACTCTTAGGGCTTCCTGGAGTCCAGGATCCTCTTTCCAAGCCTGGGGACCAGACATCAGCATTCCCATATGCCCCTGCTCAGTTCATCTGCTTTGCTGCCGGAAGAATATTCTACTTTTCTGAGCTTGGCCTCAGTTTCCCTATCAGGACAATGGGCCCTCTTCCTGTTTCCCAGCTTGAGGAATAGCACAGAGATCAGCAGAGGGATCCTGCAGCCTACGCCCTCCATCCCACCCCATTTTCTCAGGGGTGAGAGTGGCAGGTGTCAGCATGGCCACAGGCCCTCCGCATCCCCTCCCCCGCTGTGTTTCCTATAATTTTATATTGAGACCTGTGGTCATGACGTGGGTTTTACTGCACTAACGACATGGCCTGCCCAGGTTTAATGACAAAATCCATACTCTGGCCCTGGGCCTGCTCCTCGTTTGCATAATTCCCAGAATACAGCTCCCTGAAGCTTTTGACCTAGGCCATTACAGTGGTCATAAAATGGGCCATAAAACCGCTGGGGATGGCCAAGAGGAGGGGGCTGTAGTCTTGCTGGGGTGGAAATGAAGCCCTCAACCCCCTACTCTTCCTAGGCTTGGGAGGAGGCATCCTCTGGCTCTTCCTCTCCACAGTTCCCAGAATCTGGGAGTCCATCTTGGGCCGGCAAGGCCCCTGGAAATCCTTAGTCCAGCTGCCCATTTGATGTAGGAATCCCTTCTCCAATACCACTGACAGTATCCCAGGTAGGCAGACTGAGCCCACCCGTGGCAGGCTGTCAGAAAGCATCTTCTCCTGGAGTATCATTTCTCCTGCCCATGACGTCCCTGCCCCGCCCCCAACAGCTGGCCAAGCCCTTTTGCCACAGGTGGGTCTAAGTCTCACAGGCCTAGGTTGAATCCTACCCCTCTTCAGGAGGCCTAGCTCCTTAGGAAGGTCAGGAGCCAGGCTGAGCAGCATAGTGGGGAGATGCAGGAAGCACGAGGGAATGGGGACAGGGACTGGGATGGGCTGTCAGTGCTAAAGATGATGAATGGGGGAGGTGAGGTGGGAGGCCCTGTGTTATCGGCAGTGATGGCGGGTGCGGGCGCTCGCCGTTCCTGCTAATCCCCGGGCGCTGCCTCAGCCCTTGCACTGATAACGAGGAAATGGGACTGACAACAATTTTTAGCTGAGAGATTCTTCACCAAAATGCCAGGCGGCCGGAGGTCTGACAGCGCCTGATTGAGTGTGTGAGTGCGTGGGGGGAACGCCCGCAGCCCCCTCCCCTCCCATGCAAAGATGGATCGCTCATTCCGCCTCCCGTCCACATTCATTACCGCACCTCCCTCCCCACCATTCCAGCGCAGAGTGCCTGCCACCTCCACTTCTCTGCCTGCTGCAAGTATCCCCTCAAGCAGGAGGAGAGCAGGGAGGGGAGGGGCCCTGACCCTACCCTCTGCCTTACACAGGGCAACTCCAGCTCAAAGAGCAGAGAGGTGACTGCAGAGGCAGGGACCAAGAACCAAGACCATCAGGTCCTAGCCTGGAGATTCCCTAGTTGTATGACCTCCAGGAGGTCCCTTTTCCTTGTTGAGCTGCTAGAGTACCTCCCCCTCTAGACAACAGGGAGGCAACAAGGAGTAACTGTAGGCTGTGAAGAGGGTAGGCCGGCTGAATGGAGAGGAGTGGTCAAGCCAAGGCACCCTCTTCCTAGCCTGGGCCTGGCTGCAGCCAGTGCAGCCCTCAAGCCTTGGAACAGGTCTCTGGTACCCGAGGTCCTAGATCAGCCCTCTGCTGCCCCCCTCTGTTGGGAATTGCTGACCACCGGGAACAAGAAACTCAAGGGCTGGCACAGGGTGCTTCTGCTCTGCCATCTTCCATAGTGAAGCTGAGTGCAGCACTGGAGGCTGAGGGTCTCATTCATGGGAAATCCCACCTCTCCTTGACCATTAGCCCATGTCTAGCCTTGGAACTCCCCACCGTATGGTTGCCTCTCTGGTTTGGCCTGTTTTTGTTCCGATTCTGTTGCATGAGGGTTCCATTCTTGCCTCTTTGCTTGTCCAAGCAGCAAATCCCATT